GAAATCACAACAGAAAAGGAACAAGAATGTGAAAGATTTATTCATGAAATAAATACTGTTTTCTTACTAATTAGTTTAGTACTCTCTTCCTTAAAAGTATATTTTATTTCACAGAGAACTGAAATGTATTGATACGTTTTTCCCTTCCCAATCAAGAGATTTAAAGCATGTCTCAAATTAGAAAGGTTAATTATCCGTTTAACCTCTTGATCCCATATGAAGTAATCTAAATGTGTTTGCCCTCATTCCACACTGCAGCGTGACACATTATTTGTTTGAACGTCCCTTTCATTAGATTCATGAGATGATTCACTGTTGTTCCTAACCTGGGTTTATAAAATTAGTAACTGCCGATTTAAGCATTTTAGAAGCATTACTGTAGCAACATGACAAATCAAACTATATGGTATGGGTTGTCAGGCCTTTGCAGCCATACATACCAAGCTACTTTACTTTTTTAATGAAATGTTAATACTGTTGGGTCTTGTTTGCGATTCAACAGATTTATCAATCTTTCCATCAATTTTTCCCACCAAAAAAGTGTTCTATTTCATCTTTTTATTTTATGCTATTCAGCATAGGGTGGTCTTTTCTGTAGTTGGTATTTCTGCAAAAAAAGAAAAATTTAGGTGTGGAAAAGTTGACACCTTTTTAAAACAATTTAATTAATACATACAGATTAGAGACCAAAAATAAAAGACACTTTTCAGAACATTCTCATAAATCTTATCAGAGTACATCTTATTACAAATTTTATGTGTTATAACGATGATGTTTACATCAAGCATATGGTAATTTTCATGAGATATAATACACTTGACTGCTGTAAAGCTGTAGGATTTTATATAATATATATACAAATAATTTCAGATTTAGTTTTGTATACCGTATATACTCGAGTATAAGTCGAGTTTTTCAGCACATTTTTTGTGCTGAAAAAACCCCACTCAACTTATACTCGAGTTAATGTCTGTATTATGGCAATTTACATTGCCACAATACAGACCAGGACCGCCGGGCTCATTACAAGCCCGGCGGTCCTGTTGGGGGCTGACAGTGAGAGGTTACTTACCTTCCTGCAGCTCCTGTCAGCTCCCTTCTCCTCCGTGCAGCTCCTCTGTCAACTCCCACTGTAAGTCTCGCGAGAGCCGCGGGGTCACCGCGGCTCTCGCAAGACTTACAGTGGGAGCTGACAGAGTAGCTGCACGGAGGAGAAGGGAGCTGACAGGAGCTGCAGGAAGGTAAGTAACCTCTCACTGTCAGCCCCCCCTCCTACACAGCCCATACACTGGACCACTAGGGAGTGAGAGCCCCCCTCCCTGGCAAGCTAACAAGCAGGGAGGGGGGACGAAAATTTAATTAAATAAATAAGAAAAAATACAATGAAAAATATTAAAATAAAAAACTTAAAATATTAAAATAAATAAAAAATGTAAAATATTAAAAAAATAATAAAATAAAAAAAACTTAATATATAAAAAAATTATAATAAAAATGCCCTCCTCCCACCCAGTTCTCTCACACACACACACACACACACTCATACAAACACACACACACTTTGCATTATACACACACACACACTCATACAATCTGCATTCTACACACACACACTCATACAAACACACACACACTCTGCATTATATACTCACAGAGTGTGTGTGTATTTGATGAGTGTATGTGCGTATATAATGCAGAGTGTGTGTGTGTTTGTATGAGTGGGTGTGCGTGTATAATGCAGAGTGTGTGTTTGTATGAGTGGGTGTGCGTGTATAATGCAGAGTGTGTGTTTGTATGAGTGTGTGTGCGTGTATAATGCAGAGTATGTGTTTGTATGAGTGTGTGTGCGTGAATAATGCAGAGTGTGTGTTTGTATGAGTGTGTGTGCGTATATAATGGAGTGTGTGTTTGTATGAGTGTGTGTGCGTGAATAATGCAGAGTGTGTGTTTGTATGAGTGTGTGTGCGTATATAATGCAGAGTGTGTGTTTGTATGAGTGTGTGTGCGTGAATAATGCAGAATGTGTGTTTGTATGAGTGTGTGTGCGTATATAATGCAGAGTGTGTGTTTGTATGAGTGTGTGTGCGTATATAATGCAGAGTGTGTGTTTGTATGAGTGTGTGTGCATATATAATGCAGAGTGTGTGTTTGTATGAGTGTGTGCGTATATAATGCAGAGGGTGTGTGTTTGTATGAGTGTGTGTGTAGAATGCAGATTGTTTTTATGAGTGTGTGTGTGTATAATGCAGAGTGTGTGTTTGTATGAGTGTGTGTGCGTATATAATGCAGAGTGTGTGTGTTTGTATGAGTGTGTGTGTAGAATGCAGATTGTTTGTATGAGTGTGTGTGTGTGTATAATGCAGAGTGTGTGTTTGTATGAGTGTGTGTGTGTATATAATTCTAAAAATCACAGAATTTCATAGCCCCAAGTTTTACCCTCGACTTATCCATGAGGCATAGCATATTTCACAATTGTTGGTCACAAAACTGCCCTCGACTTATACATGAGATCGACTTATACACGAGTATATACGGTAGATAAAACAAAATTCCCTCATTTTAAATAACTATAGTAAATAAAGTGGGCCTTTTGATCCTGAGCTAAATATTCTGTTTAACCCCTTAAGCCAGTTGTACAAGTTGTGATCAAAACAAAACATAAACAAATCCTTGAATTTGCGCTATATGTCTGTTCAGGCGCAATTCGCCTCTTTCATATTAAGTGCACCCACACGTATCATATATCATTTTGTTTAGGAGAAACAGGAGTTTCATGTCACATCAAATATTTATATATTAAACATAATTTAATATGAATAATATGTAAAAACATTTGAAAAATTAAGATTTTTTTTATTTGTTTAGTTCTGCGTGGCATTTTAACTGTGAATGGCATAATACTGTTAGCTGTTACTGCAATAAAATTCACATATTTGTATTCAGTGAAGTCTCACTAGTAAAATAGCTCCCCCCAAGTACAAGTTTTATAGTGTTTTGGAAAGTTACAGGGTCAAATTTAGCACATTACATTTTTTAGTATATACACATTGAAATTTGCCAGACTGGTTATGTTGCCTTTGAGACCGTATGGTAGCCCAAGAACTAAAATTACATCCATGATAGTATACCATTTGCAAAAGTAGACAACCCAAGGTATTAGAAATAGGGTATGTCTAGTCTTTTTTAGTCACAAACACTAGCCAAAGTTAGCATTCTAATTTGTATGTGAAAAATGCAAAAAAAATGAATTTGACTTGACTGATTTGAAAATTGGTTTGACTTCGACTGGAGGGACTCTTATATCTCTTATCTGGGCATTAACCTATGCAAGAACCTGTCCGAGATGCATTCTTATAAGGTGGGTGAGGTCTGGTCTGACTTTAGGAACAATCTTAAGAGGTGGTGTAGTCTGGAAATCTCATAGTTAGGCAGGGTTCGGTGAAAATGACTCTCCTTCCCAAAATTGTATATTTTCTTAGAGCCACCTCCCTTTTGATTCCCTTATCTTTTTTTTGAAAGATACATACTGCACTCTTGAAACTTATCTGGAATAGAAAACCATCTACCAATAAATTATCCATACTTTAAAGGCTCAGGTTTAGTGGGAGTGTCGGTTTGCCAGACTTTATTCATTATTACAATGCAAATAATGCAGCAATGGTGCTGAAGTTCAACCAAGAATGTGGCTGTCCTCTTTGGCTTGAGATGGAAGCTTGCAAACTCTCTCCGCATTCACTAAAATATATTTTATGGATGCTTCCGTCGCAGCACATAAGGTTGACGGACATGTTTCTTTCGACCAAAACTACCATTAAAGCCTGGAATTTACTATACTAAAAAAATCATCCTTCTGCTATCTGGTCTAGAGCCATCTATTTATCAATATTAAAACTAGGTATGCCTGAATTTGGATGTAGAATATTGGTCCTCTCATTCTTTAATTGTATTAACAATTTATTTTTGTCCTCTAGTTTTTTTATCATTTGAACAGCTACAAAATAAATTATAGTGCAAAGTATGGTACAAACACAGCCTTGATGAAGGGGTCTGAGATATTAAAACACGACAGAACTTCCCTCAATTGATCCCAATGGATCCTATCGAATGCCTTCTTCGCATCCAAAGAGATGAGCAAATAGAGCGTGTGAGTAGATTTAAATTGATTAATCATATTGATGAAACTCCTAGTGCCATCCGGAGCCTATCGGTTCACTAAGAAACCCGTTGTCAATTAGGGATGGAAGAAGTTGATTAAATCTGTTTGCTAAGATTTTTAAGTACATTTTCATATCAATGTTATTTAATAAAATGGAGCTTGACTATCTGAGCGTGGTTTGGTTAACGTGACTATCTGAGTATTTTGTAATACTCCACAAACATATCGCTTATCTTGACCGGATGAGTAACTTTAACGTCACTATTATCCAATAGATGCTCAATTCTGGATTGGGAAGCCCTGTGGCGTAGTTTAGAAGCTAACATTGAAGAAGCTCTATTCTCATTAGCATAAAAAAACTGTTTTAATCTCCTCAACATCAAGGCAGTGTATTCCAACTGGAGAGTGTTAATTTTAGCCTTAATATCTGAAATCTTTGTGGCAAGGGGCATGGAAGGGACAATTTTTCACTTTTGTGATTTTTAGCAGAGCTATTTACATCTCTAACAATGTCATAGTCGCAATCCAGAACAAAATTGGTGTCACCACCTAAAATCAATCTGCGTCTGACCTCATTTGAAACTTTATTAACAATTGTTTTAAAAAAACAAAATTACCTAGAGTTAGGGGAATATAGATTTACCAAAGTGTACTCAGCACTATTTACTAAACCTTTCCAGATTCTGTATCTGCCATCAGGATCCAAAGTCATGTCATTTGTGTGACAAGCTACATTTTTGCTAAAAAACATGGAGACACCCCTAGATTCTTACGAAATGTATAGTGATACTGGGACACAGCTATATCTCCCCTAAACCACTCTCCAACCTGGCTGGGAACAATTATGAGACGCAAGTCGCAGAAACCGGCTACGGCCCAAAGGAAAAACAATCAGGACATTAGCCAGATGCTGGCCTCCACCTCTCGAGCCCGAGGGATTACACCTCCGTGGCCTATGACAACACGTGAACCACCTACTGAGGAAACCTCCAAGGAGGTAGCCACAGCCTTACCCAGAGCCGAGGCACTGGTAACAAAACAGGACATACACGATCTATTGGAACACTTCCAATACATGTTCGCAGCTGAACTGAACATGGTAAAAACGGAGGTACAGGCCATGATTGATAGACTCCAAGCCATTGAAGAATACGTTCATGAGGTAAAGCAGGGCATGACCACACAATCCATGCAGCAACTGCAAAAGCTACACTCCCAGTTTGCTATCAGAATGGAGGCACTGGAGGACAAGGGGTGACAGTGATATAGTAAAATCTGCGGAGTGGCAGACTCTGTCCCTGCAGACGAACTACCCTTACTTTCTCAGGAGGCTCCTATCCTCTGTATTGCCTGCAAAACTCTCCAAGCAGTACACATATGATGGACTGTACTGCATTTCCACACTCTCCCATGCATCATTAAATGTCATACGAGATGTCATCCTATGCTGTCAGACCCTCTCCGAAAACAGCGCCTACTAAATACTCTAAGGGGCAAAGCGCCTCTATTCGAGAATCATTCCCTCACCTTCTTCCAGGACCTGAGCAAAGCTACACTGCTGTGGTGAAAAATCCATGCGTTTCACCACACAGGCCCTACTGAAGGCTGGACAGGCCTTTTGCCCAGGCCTTCAGTACGCTTCTTACCCGTACAGCGAATCTGCAACCTGCGGCTGCTCCTAGTGTCTCACCTCCGCCTATAGTATACAAGACACCAACTATCTCTCTATCTCCTCCTCTGCATTTTGATGGTAATTTCCAAGAATGCCGGGGATTCCTTAACCAAATAGAGTATCATTTTGAGGCCTCACCGGGATCTTTTCCCACAGACAGAGCTAAAATTGGTTACCTGATGAATCAATTAAAAGGTAAGGCTTTAGCTTGGGCCAATCCATAATGGGAGAGTAATAGGAGTGTGGCACACAATTACCAGGAGTTTATTACGGAATTTAAACTTACTTTTGAACCATTAGGCAGGCAGGAAGACGCCTCTACTGCCCTGATGCATATCAGACTCGGAGTATGCCATAGAATTTCGTACCGTAGCTTCCGAGGTAGACTGGACTAATAGTGGGTTAATCTCTGAATTTAAAAAGGGACTATCTGAAACTATGCTAGATGAGATTGCTGTCAAAGACTTACCCAAAAAGCATAATGAATTTATCACTTTTGTCATGCAAATTGGTAATAGATTGAGAATCAGAGAAGCTACTAGAAACAAGACCAGACACATGAATATGCCTTTAGCACCCCACTTCTCCAAACCTATTGTCCCTGAATTTCCTGTACAGTCCGAACCCGAACCCATGCAGTTGGGGATCACTAAACTGTCGGAAGCAGAAGGACAATATAGGAGAAAAGAAGGCTTATGTCTATACTGCGGTAGAAAAAAACATATGAGAAACAATTGTCCCATACGTCCGGAAACTACCGCACCTAAGCACCTCAAGGGTACAGGTCTTAGGTGTAATGGAAACGTCCTCTGGAATGAATAAAAATAGGTTTCTCCTTGATATTTCTATTGCCTTTGAAAGGAAAAACTTTTCATGCAAAGCCCTGATGGATTCAGGTGCCGCTGGAAACTTCATCGACGTTCAGTTTGTTAAAGGTAATATTATACCTATCAAGGAGTGACTATCACCCCTAGCTGTTGAAGCTATTGATGGGAGACCACTCTCACAACCATTGATTACACACGAAACCTTACCCATTAATTTGTCCATTGGTGCTTTACATAAGGAAGAGATTACATTTCAGGTTATTGCATCCCCTCCTGTCCAATCATATTAGGCTTTCCGTGGCTTAACAAGCATAAACCTCATATTGACTGGGCTAATGGGGAAATATTAGAATGGGGTAAGGATTGTTATGAAAGGTGTATATTGAATATTGCCAAAAGAGTGGGCACTATTGGATTACCCACTAGTACACCTCAAAACCCGGAAATCTCTATACAATACCAAGACATTAAAGAAGTATTCAGCAAAACGCAGTCGAATACTCTACCTCCTCACAGACCTTATGACTGTTCCATTAATTACCTGGCCCTATGCCACCTCAGGAGAGTAGAGTAATGGAGGAATATATTAAGGATTCATTGAATAAAGGCCACATACGTAAATTATCCTCGCCTGCTGGGGCAAGATTCTTTTTTGTATCTAAAAAGGACGATGAGTTGCGCCCATGTATCGATTACAGGGCATTGAACAAAATCATCATTAAAAACACCTACCCCATTCCTCTTATTGCTGAATTATTTGATAGACTCCAAGGTGCTAAAGTATTTACTAAGCTTTATCTTAGAAGTGCTTACAATTTAGTGAGAATCAATGAAAACCACGAGTGGAAGACTGCATTTAATACCAGAAGTGGACACTATGAATATCTAGTGATGCCATTAGGGTTGTGCAATGCTCCAGCGGTTTTCCAAGATTTCATAAATGATGTACTCAGGGATTACATTTACTCGTTTGTCTTGGTCTATCTGGATGATATCCTTATTTATTCTCCTGACATTCAGACTCGCCACGATCACGTTAGGCAAGTTCTGCAGACCTTGTTAAAGAATCAACTTTATTGTAAATTAGAAAACTGCATCTTTGACCAATCTGAAGTACAGTTTTTGGGATATAATATCTCTGCCTTGGGGTTTCAGATGGATCCTAAAAAGCTGGAATTGGTTCTACAATGGCCTTTACCCACTGGGTTGAAAGCCATTCAAAGGCTCATTGGTTTTGCCAATTATTACAGGAGGTTTATAAAGGGATTTTCTTCAGTAATATACCCCATCACCAATATGACACACAAGGGTGTTAGCAGTACGATATGGTCAAAGGAGGCTATAGAAGCCTTTGAAACTCTCAAACAGCGGTTTGCCTCCGCCGACATATTGATACATCCTGACACCAGTAAACCTTTCATACTGGAAGTTGATGCATCAGAGATAGGGGTAGGGGCAGTTCTCTCCCAGAGAGAGAGCCAGGATACTCCATTGCATCCTTGTGGTTACTTCTCTAGAAAGTTGTATCCTGATGAGCGCAATTATGATATTGGCAATAGGGAATTGTTGGCCATTATTCTAGCTCTCAAGGAGTGGCAACATATTTTAGAGGGTTCCAAGGACCCCCTTTTGATCATTCCTGATCACAAAAACCTGGCTTACATAGGAGATGCTAAACGATGGGATGTATTGCCCTTTAAAGACATGATTTGGGCATAATGGATTTGTGTTGTGCTGCTGCTGGCCCTTTAAGAACCATCTGGGGACATACTGTGGAGTTACTGGGTGGCCACCATTTCATGGATCAGAGGCACATGGTGAGAACAATGGATGAAGCTCATGGTGAGAACAATGGATGGCGGCCATATTAACTCACAGACACTGTGTGGACTTTTCTACACGGTGCCATTTCACCGGTATTTGGTGCACAGAGACATTGTGCAGTGGTTTTGGACTATACAACAGGGGACACATTATACAGTAATTATTTTTCATATAGCCTGTATATGTTCTGCGGAATCTGCATTAAACTGTATCTTCCAAACTACTGAACGGATCTTGGTGAATTTGGGATATGTGGTTCACCCAGATCCCCCGGTTTTTATGGGGTTATTGTATGTTTTGGGGTCCCTGTGATGTGTTTTATGATACTGTATTTCTCTACCTGTCATAATTATATTAACCATTGTGTTCAGGAATCATATCACAGGCAGAGGGGAGGATTTTGTGTGGGAGTGTCTGTGTGTATTGTACGGATTGATTGGTTGTATTTCAAAACCCTGTGGGCAGTACTATGTTTGTGGATTGTGAATAAAAGAGGCTATATGTGTTCTGCTTGACCTCAAAACGAAGTGTCGTCTCGTTATTGGGGGAATTGGATTGTATGCTGATTGCCAGGAGTGTAAGCTGATTGTATGCTTTTCCTGTTCAGCTGCTTACAGCATTCATATGCTTGAGAGCATTCGTATGCTTCTCCAGTTCGGTGGTTGTGGTGTCTGCTGCAGTGCTTGGAGTCCTCAGGAAGCGCTAGGAGCCTCCTTCGACGGAGGTTCCCAGTCGGGGTGCCAGGTGATCCGTTACAGGGGTATTTAGGTCCAGTTCTCATCCTGCTCAGTGCCCTGTCGTGGTTTCCCTTCTGGCTGTCCAAGAGTGCGTTATTGATTCTGGTATTTCTGATTATTTGACTTTGGCATTGTTTTTGACTTCCCTGTTTTCTGGCATTCCTGACTCCTGGCTTTTCCTTATCGTTGTGTCTCTTTCTGTTTCCCTTGACCTCGGCTATTCCTGACTATTCTTTGGTACGTTAGTCCGGCCATACTAAGGTCCAGTATACGTTATCTATTAGTCCTCTGTGTTACACAATTCTACGTGCTAGATCATTCTGTAATCCTGACACGCACTACTCATACACTTATTAACTCTCCCAATAGACCTGACTCCTCCATGTTTGCTTAATTAATGTTCATAAAATGTGCAGTCTCACATATATGCCTTGTAAAGTGATGTACTCAATTTCCACATGTTTACTAACGCAATTGGGGCAGAGTAAACTTAGCTGTTAAAACCATACACAACAAAAATAAAGAATGAAGAAAAAAAAAGTGTAACAAGTAAATTAGCCTAAAATAATAATCTTCGCCAGTAGAAGGAACCAGGAGCCCAGGATCCAGTGACCATGGTTGATGATCCAGATTTTATGAATAGTAAACAGGAACCAATATCTGGAAACTTATAAAAAAGAATAAGTAATCCAAGGATTCGTGCCCAAGGACATTAACCAGGATCTGAAGATCTTGAAGAACTGAAGAAGGCCTAAATCTAAATTCTCAGGAAAAAACAGGAAACCAGGAACCATTGGTCCAGGCTTGATATCAGGAATTGAGGAGCCAGAACTTGGAAAACAGTGACTAAAGACGGCTGTACGTCCACACGTCTGAATTTTCTTGGACGATTGGGGCATTGGCATTTGTGAAGGTTGGGAAGTAGCAGGTACAATTGATGGAGACATATTTAGCACTCTCATCCCTTTTTCAGGAGACATAATAGCATAATTTCAACCATCAAGATGGAACAGGACTTTGACAGGAAATCACCATTTGTAACGGATATTTCGTTGGCACAGTTCAGCTGTGAGTTGACCAAATTCTCTCTTTCACACAGTGGCAGGGAAAAAAATCCTGAAATATTTGAATGTTACGATAATCATTCGGGATTCCATTAGAACGTATAGACATAAGAAAATCTTCTTTAATAGGGAAGATGTGGATTCCTGTGATCACATCTCTAGGGGCATCCCTAGGAGTGGAATCCGGTTTTGGGAGACGGTGGATGTGGTCAATCATCAGATCAGCATCAATGAGATTTGGATTCACTGATCTCATATAATCTGAAAGTTCAGCAGGCTGAACAGTTAGGGATCCTCCTTACTCTCAAATTATTTCTCAGACTCCTGTCTTCTATATCACTCAATTTAGTGTTAGTGGAATTTAACTGTAGTTCCAATGAGTGAATGCGCTTATTAAGATTTGCTATTTCTGTAGCGTGTTCCGTCAGGACCTCATCCGTTTCATCAGCTCTGTAGTCCAGCACTGACACCTTCTGACTTAGCGTTGTGAATTCAGCTTCAAATTTGTTTCTCAAGTCTAGCACATCCTGTCTGATTATTTCCAGCATTTCCCACACTTGATCAGATGAGGCAGAAGATCTTCTAGATGTTTCCATAGATCGAGGGGGAAGCGGTGCCATGTATGGGAAAACAGGCTGATCACCCACAGCAACTTCCAATGCAGGGGCCTCCTGTGTTATCTCTGTATGTCTCTTGGCAGACATCTTTGGTACAGCCCCAGCCTTGTCTGAAAACTCAAGGGATTCCCTAGTTGCTGCAGCCATCTTGGTTGTGACAAAATCACCATATGGTGAAGATTTTGTATTTATTTCTATTTCCCATTCTATGTTTGATGGTCTGATCGAGGCACCAGCCTCACCACTTATTGTCTGTGGTGTATCTTTAAGTTTTCTGGAGGTGAGGGTTGAGCCCCTCCCCCCCCCACCGAGACCACCAGCCACGATGCAGAGGGCCCTGACAGGGAACGGGACTGCACACCACCCACCGCCTTCTCTGCAGCCCGTTCGCTTTTATATGATAGCGACAGGTCTGCTTTGGTATTAATTAATGCCTCTTTTTAAACATGACTGTACTTTAGGAATTTACTGTTTACAATATAACAATTCCCAAATCCTTCTCGTGTGTTGTTATCTCTAATTCACTATCGTTTACAATGTAAGTTGATTGTGCATTCTTTACCCCCTAGTGCATAACTTTGCATTTATCCACATGCAATTTTATCTGCCATTAGAGTGCCTAGTCCCCCAATCTATCTAAATCTCTCTGCAGAGAGATCCTGCTTACATTGTACTACTTTACAGTTTTTTACGTCATCCGCAAACACTGAAAGATGACTTTCAAAACCTATTTCCAGATTATTTATAAATATGTTAAATAGAAGCGGTTCCAAAACAGAACCCTTAGGGATACCACTTACCACTTTTGTCCAGCTTGAAAATTTACCATGAATAACATATGTTCTATTATAATCATATTTTCACAATAGACTTCCACTTTAAGTTGCAACACACTCAAGACATTAAGAAAGGCTACTTAATCTTTACATATGTACATACTATGTCAAACTCTTAAGTGCACTGAATGTAATACCAAAGGTTTAAAGAACATGGTTATATATGCTAATCACGTTGAACTGTGCTGGAAGGTACCATTACCTCCTGCTTTCTGACATAATGTATAATAATTGCAAAAAAACTGTCTGGAATTATCCTACAACAGGCGACTTTCCTAAATATAAAGTAATTTATATAAAAGACCACTTTATATTTAGCTAGCACAGCTCCTGTAATCATTTGTTAGCTGGTTTGCCAAAAGAGGACTTATGGAGGCTCTGTTACTTTTTTTCAAGGGTTTTTTTTTTACTAGTGTGTTTCTCTCCACATAATCTCTCTCCTCACAACCACTTTGCTGTGTCATATACTATTATCCATTCTGCCCAGCTGGTGGATTATATGGTTGTAATAAAACTACATATTTTGTTTCCCAAAAGTAACTTTTCTGAGTTCGGTAATTAAATCTACCAAACACCGACCACCCTCTGGCTCATTAAGTTCAAAGAATACCACAGAATTAAGTGCTCTCCCTGTGTGGCAGCCGTTCGTATAACCGAACAACACGTGCTGGAGAAAACAGCGGACATCTTGTCACAACAAAAAAAGTAGTGGACTTGGTTGTTGAGTGTATGGAACTTCAAGTTGGATGCTCGACCCCACGAACACCGGTCAACTTCACGAACGCATGTTTTTTTTTCAAAGACAAGCCAGGAGAGAGCTTTTCGGTAGGTTTGTTCGCACAAATAAGGCTAACAAATGCTACCTATGAGACAGGGGAACCGTTTGTTGTGTTGTTCAGTTTGGAATTCCCAAAACTGACGACAGCTACCCATGAAACTATGGAACTGATTTGGGCAGGTGCCTCATGATCGGTCGGTCAAAACTGGTGGCGATTCGGCTGCATTTGTGGAATCTGAGCGCTATGTGGACAACTTGGGCACTCAAATCCAAGCTATCTGGGAATATAATATTTATGGGGGTTCCTATATGTTTTATGTGTATTTTTATGTATCTTTGATATTTTGTATTTTATGTAGAGTCATTGTGACTCAGAAATTCGTGAGTGTGTTGTGGGAGTTTTTGTGGGTATGTATACTATATTCCTGAATTGTATAAAAGCCAGCCATCTGGCCAGAAAAATTATTTTTGTTGTACCCTTCATCTAATCTCGAATGATGTTTGGGTATGTGACCGATGAACCGCTGGATTAACTTTTATGCTTCACTTTGATTTTCGGGAACGTACGAATCAGCGCTCCATGCGACGGTCTATAATCACTAAGTCCCTAGCAGTTCGGGAGCATACAAATGAAAGGGTATATGCAATACCAGCGTTGGTTACAATGGTATTTCTTTTTTATATATAAGGTATACATTATATATTTGTCACAGACAGATAGGATCCAACAGGCAAAAATAAGGGAAGCAAATACTAGAAGAACAGCAAGCGTATTACCAGACTTTAGAATGGCCGTATTTAACGCACAAGAAATAGTAGAAGACAAACCATGGTCAGGGATACAGAATTCAGAATAAACTAAAGGAAAAGCCAAAGGTCAAGGACAATCAGAAAGGAGAAAAGTCAAAGATAAGCCAAGGTCAAAATGCCAGAAAATATAAGAAATAAACGCACTCTCGGATTAACCACAAGAATTAAAAGCACGACAGGGCATCAAACAAATGGACAAATAAGTTTAAATAGCCCAAGAAGGGCTTCCAATTGTCACTGGGATCTGGTGACGTCAAAACATGTGTGCGCGACGAGATGTGATGATGCACGCACGTCCGTGTCAGCAGCATCAAAATTAATGACTGTCTGTTTAAATTGTGCCTTTGTAAGCGGCCGCCGTCCGTGGAAAGGCCTGCGCGGCTTCCGGCCATGTAGTGTGGAGAGCCAGCAAGAGGTAAATAAATTAATTTTCATGTGTCCGCGCTGCTCGGGCACGAACACAAAGTCACATGGCAGGAAGCGGACACTAATTCGTGCCAGCCTGGTGCAGGCACATGGCTGCCCCTGAATGGCCTTGTGACAATATTACAATAAAAGATAAAATGAGTATGTGAATGACAACATTTTGCACGTGTTAGAAATTCTTTGGGATTAGTCACTAAACAGCAAGCATGTTTTGTGAAACTTGCTTAATAGTGGCATTTTGCTATTTTCTATTTTCCAACAAATGTTGGTTTTAAATTCACCCCATCACTGTTGAATCTGTTTTTTTGGGGGGGTGGGTTTAGGGGGGGTTATTACATTTATTCATCCAAATAGGCATGATAAGTCATTCATTTACTTTTTTTTACACTTATTCCAGGTGGGCATTCTAATGTAACTCTTCTCTATGTCAGTCTAGGTTGCTGGGCTTCACATGAAGTTCTTTAGCAACAGCTTCCAGGAACTGTGTTCTAATTCCCATATGCTTCAATTGTCAGTAGGATTTTAAAATATAAAAATGAATTATGGATGTTTCTGCAAAGGCAAATAAATCTGCCAGCACCAGGTAAAGTAGTGAGGTCTCCTGTGACATGATGGAGCCCCCACCCCTCATAAAAAAAGAATGCCAAGGTATAAAACAGCCATGTGGAAGCCATGGAGGTCAAGTTGTGCTCATTCCACCACAGGTATCATTAGATGAGAGGCAGGAAAAAGTGGAAGCCAGACGAAGGATTTGGCCAAGAAATTAGTAGAGAATGTTCGGGATTATTTTTTATATGGCTTATTGGACTTAGTTGTAAGGGATTAATGATCAGTATATCTAGGGAGCTTAGTAAATGCCACACATGCTCACCGTGAATACCATTAATACAGGAAACGGTTAATGGTAGAACTGGATGTGAACATTAAATGCCCTATTTCCACAAGAAATTCAAATATCTAACTAAACGAGAATTTACCTTTCCGTGAGGATCATCAGTCAGAAAGCTCAGCATCAATCAGAGATTTGGGGTTAGACAGGCAAATTTTTCCAAGGTCATTTTGTGGGTACTTTTTGTGAATTTTCTTCCTGAAATGTGATAATTTTATAGTAAAGTATTTTTTTATTCTTGATTTCATAATGAGCACTTTTCATGACCACATCAGCAGTATTGGTACATAGGAAGAAGGAATTTACCAGCTGCAGAGCTCACATGGAGAATTACAGATGGGCTAGGGCTTAATAGACAAGGAAACTTAAAGTCGGTACAGAATTCAGAGAAAGAACTCTGCAGTTTCATGATAGCTAACACTAGTATTTGACATGATTATTACAGTCTCTTTCTTTCTCTATGTCTCATTTTAGCACTTGCACTGGGGACAATAGAAAAAATCTCCAGGCCTTAATTTCCACATAGAACCCTTAACACGTTTATTACAAAGCCGGCAAAGAAAGCATTTAACATAAAGGGTTATTCACTAAAATATTCTGGCGAATTAAATCATGGTGATATGAAGCTGTTCCCTATCTTTCAATTTTCCGAATGTCACCCTCTGTGAGGTATTCCTCTGGTTACCATTTTTAGAAGGAAACCAAGGGAAGCCCCTTAAGAGCGCGGTGTGGTCACAGCGAGATAAAAAAATCCCTCAGAATTGGATGGGAAGTGCAGGAAAATATCGATCCTGACTAGAGACAAGACTTTTGACTGTGTTTTCCATGATCTACACAAAAATATGGCTGAGAGTTATGGGAAATGTAGTTCACAAACAATCTCTAAAAAATAGAGTTATGGGAAATGTTATTGAATAAAGTGAGAATTCAAAGTGAATTTCAGATTCAAGGCCAGAATTGCCAAACTGAAAGCATAGCGGACTTAGAGAACTTTTGCAGTTCAGCTGTTTTGACCTTAAATTTGAAATGCACTTTGAATTCACCTTGAAATCTTAATTTAGCGAATAACCCTGCTACTGTTTGTCAGCTAAAAGTGTAGCTGGACATCATGGGAAATGTAGTCTACAAACAATGGATAACTTTGGAACAGCAAATATTTTTGTACTTCCGTAAAGTGTAATTTCCCAAGATGCTCAGCCAGGCTTTAGTGGTAAATTGGTTAGGATATATATATATATATGATGAATTGCAGCCTGCTCCTTACATTTCCGAAGGTAATTTTAAATAAATGTGATCAACTTAATGACACGTTTTAGGCGTTTGCTTAAACCTTCTGTGTAACTGTGAACAGATATAGGATGAGCAAGTCATTAATTGAGGTGGGGAAACGGAAGGTGGTATGAACTTA